GCAGCCCCTAAACAACGGAAGAGGCATTTCATCTGTATGTGCGGTTCAGGATAATTTTAGCTCATTTTAAAACTAGAGCCCAGGATAGAGCTCAGTGGCACAGCGTCTACCTGGCAAGCACCAGGTCACAAGTTTGATTGCCGCTACCAAAAAAAAGGGGGAGGGGGGAGGAGAATTAAATAAATAAGTGGTTACAAACTGGAGTATTTGAACTTTAAAAAAAATCGGAAATTTCATCTTCTGAATTTTTGTTTTCTGAATAAATCAAGACCAAATACTACATTTGTTTTCTCCTACTTTGGAGGCAAATTCTCTACACTGGTAGACCCAAAAAGAATGCTAAGTGCTTAAACTTTTTAGGAAATGACAGGAGAAAGGGTAAAATAAAATCCGTGAGGATGGGTGGAGACAGCCCTGCCCGGCAGGCTCCTCTGTGATGATGAGGGGTCTCGAGCCCATGCACCAGGCTCCTGGAAATGTTTTTCTCCTGAGTGTTCCAGAAAGCTCTTAAGGAGCGTCCTCAAGGCTCCTGCCCTCTCCACTCCCCACGGCTTCTCGCTGTGTCTTTCGGCTTCTCATTAATCAGTGTGTGGCCGCATGAAGTGGGGCGGCGAGTCTTGGTAGAAGAATTTTGCAAATGAAATTTCCAGAATGTTGTCTCTGACTATTAAAAAAAAAGCATGAACTAATGATTAAAAGCATAAGTTTTTAATGCATTGGGAATTAAGATATAACTTAGTTCAAGTGGATTAACATATTTTAGATTCTCTTCAGTGTACTTCATAGAATCCTTAACTGATGAATTTTCTTGTGTTAAAGATTCCACTTCTGCATGGTTGCAACGAGCATTTTATTTTGCATTCTTTTTCATAATTTTATGTTGGGGAACTTTTTATTTTAGTATCCTGTTTGCTATATTTTGAAAGTTTGTCATGAAATTCTCACATTTTATTTTAAAAACTTTCATCTGGCTTCTGAAGAATGATGAAGACTAAACTGTTATGTGTAAGGTTGTTTCAGATTTCCTCAAAATACAGTATGGCTGGGCTTTGTGGCTTCTAATCCCAGCACTCAGGAGGCTGAGGCAGGAGGATTGCTACGAGTTCCAGGCCAGCCTGAACTACATGGCAAGATCCTGTCTCAAAAAACAAAAAACAAAAAACAAAAAAAACCAGGATGGGTTAGGCCAGGGATTTTAAGCCAACAAATATTGATAATGTATCTCACTTATTTTCTAATTGTCTTTCAATTGCAGTCAAGTACACAAGTTCATGAGAAAAGTGGGATTGTTACAGACCAGTGTCTGAAAAATAAAGTATTTAAGCCTAACAATCCCAGGTAAAGTTGACTAAAATAAGTAAGTCTAAAGTCCAGCTATTTAGCGCTGTGGTCTGAGAAGTCACCAGTGCTAGGCGTCAGCCACGGTGGCCTCTGCCTGACCGGAGCAGGAAGGCCAAGAAGAGCAGAGAGAGGCCTGGCTCCGTCTCTGCCGTGTACCAGCCCAAGGCTCAGGACCTCACTTCCCTGTCCACATCGCAAAGGCCTAGGCATCTGGGGAGGCCTCCGGGGTGTACCAGACACAAGCCCGTTTGCTCTGTCCTAGGGTGTGGCCCCTCCTCATTGTCTGGGCAGCTTCCCTGGCCTCAGCTGTGGGAGATGCCCCATGGTGATTCCAGATTCACCCGCACCCCTAAGTGAGACCCTGCAAGCCTACATCCCATCCTCCCCCTGTCCCCCCACCCCCATTCAGCAGGAGAACCCTGCAGAGGTAAAGCGAGGGGAGCTTGCTGGGGGGAATGGACAGCCACCATGGTGACACTGGACAGACAGGGAAAGCTGAGTGCCTGCATGCAACCTGCAGACCTCGTCCGGCCCAGCAGTTGTCTGGGGTTCCCCTCTCCCCCATTGCCCTTGCCTACCCACTGGAAGAGGCTGCCCAAGTCACCAGGTCAGGGACAGACACTAAAAGTGTTGCCAATCTCCCTTTGGGCACTGGGAGGTTCAGAATGGTTCACATCTACAATGCTCATACACTCTGTACCACTGAGAAAGGCCTTTCTCTGTACCATATGTCCTCAAAGTCCCCACACTCAGAATAACTTGGAGAAAAACTGACTTTGCAAGACATTAAGAACATGGGCAAACATCTAGTGTGTCTCTGCCTTGCTCCTATGTGTGTGTCCTAAACCTGGGCCGTCCATGTGGGCAAAGCTGGATCAGACCCTGGTCCTCTGTAAGGGCCTTGAACCCCATTCTGCTTTCACTAAGCCCTGGACGCCAGGCCCGCCTGCTGCCCTAGCCTAGGCTGCCCTGGTCATGTGTTTTATGGCTGTTTTGCAATCTGTCACCCACGCCTGCTGACTGACACTTCACGCTCTGACTTGGTATCTGTTCTCTCTTCCCTTCTGCTGGTCACAGAGGCGCAGCCCGGTAAGAACTCTACTCGTTCTCCCTTAAACATACACAGAAAGTCACTACCCAGGCAAGGAGGCCAGGCCGATTTCCGGTGCCTTTGTGAAAACCCAGAATGAAGGAGGTGCATAATTTAGGGTGACTCTTGAAGCCTTGGGCTCTCTGAAGTGGTGTTTTATAACTGTCAGAGGACTTGTCTGTAATGGGCTAAATTCATACGTGGGGATTTTAACTCAGTGCTAAATGTGAAAAATAGGTGTGTGTGTGTGTGTGTGTGTGTGTGTGTGTGTGTGTCCAAGAACTGCCCATGGCCAGAAAGCACCAAAGAAGCTGATAACAAAGGAAACAATGCAGAACAATAAAACTGTAAAAATAATTAGTATGAATAATAATAAGGGATCAGTTAATGACCTATTTTGTTTCAAGCCTGAATTCAAACCTTGTCTGTGGGCCTCGTTTATGTGGGTTGAGACACTGATACATGCTTGGGATTTCCACTAGGGAGCGGGGCAGCATGCACGTTTAGGTCAGTGCCCTACACTGTCACCAGGCTCGTCATCCCTGAAACTTAGACAGGAACCGTCATGAGCTAGAGTGAGACTCAAGTTCTTTAAAACCAGCAAAAGAGGAGCCTTTGCTTGCTTGATGTGCCCCCCTATTCTCTCTCTCTCTCTCTCTCTCTCTCTCTCTCTGTCTCTCTCTCTCTCTCTCATACACACACACACACACACACACACACACACACACACACACACATACACACGCCTGCTTACTTCCTTCACAGAGGAGATGACACTGAACCAATCTGTCTAAAATATCCCCTTATCAACCCAATTAGTCCATTACTGTCAAAGGCAAACACCTTGCCCGGGAGGACCGCGTCCTCCCTGCGTGTGGTCAGTGCCAGCCTGGCTCTAGGTTTCCGGACTGCCATATCAGGGCCATCAAAGATCCTTTCTGCCTGATGCCAATTCCTCCTGACCAGTCCCGTGTCTGTTCCTGCCTCTCCTGGTGACAGTGTATTCTCTCTAATTTTCAGACAACAGCGTTTTCCTGTCTAGTTCTTCCACAGGTAGCTGGCACTTAACCTGTGATTATTTGTTCAAGAGGAACAATTGTTTGCAGGGAATCTTTGGTGTTAATAAAAATGTCATGCAGACTCCTTTGGTGCCTTTCAGGGACAAATATCTGTGAAGTGAATTGATGAGCATGAAAGAAGTCGTTTGCCTTTCTAGTACATTTTTATATGGAGAGATAAGGAAGTCTCAGCTCAGGCCTCCCCACCCCGACAGCTGGATTTCAGTCCCCTGTCCCCTCAAAGCCAGGCCCCACTAACCTTGTGGCTCATGACTTGATATTAGAGCAGGACCTTGTCATTGTCCTTCTCATGATGCCAGGGTCCTTAACTCAGGAAAACAGTTCAGCCCCATTTACACGATTTACTCTAAACCTTAGCTCACAGCTTTATTAATCCAAAAACAAATTTATATTTGCTTCTGGATTAATAAAGAAATAAATGCATTTGTTTCTGCTACAGTGTTCTCTAATGACCATACCAGAGGGAAATGACCATAATTATTAAAAAGTTTTTGTCGTTGTGCAGGACTTTTTGTTTGGGACATACAGTAGAGGAAACATTGCATTATTAGACAAAATACAGGAAGAGAGGGGGCGGCACCCCCCAGGAAACACAATGGGCCTTGGTCTGGACAGCCATGGTGCCTCTTTCTAAATGGGTCCAAGTGCCCCCAGACGCAGTCGTCCTGTGTCTTTCCTGCCAGCACCCCATGCTAAGAACCTTCTGGAGCTTTCTGCTTTGAGTCCAAATGTGCACTGAATCAGTTCCTCTGTGAGCTGAATTCATCTACACCATGGCGTTGCAAATCCGGAAGTGATCTGCTCACATAATGTGTTCCTGCATGGGTTATTCTTGCCCCAGTAGCACCATGACATGCGCTAAAGAAGCTCCTTCCAGGTCACAGATTGGTGGCAGACCCTGGAGAGAGGGCATGTGCATGGCTTGAAGTCCCCTGGCTCCCTGAAAAAGACAGTCCATCGCAGGGTGCATTCCCCCAGCTTTCCCCTTTCTATGATGCTTACCCCATTTCTCCTTTTAAACCATACTAGTAACGTGTGGTTGTTTGTACTAGTAATGTGGGGGCCCCACCTAATTAGAAGCAGACAGAACCCCTAAGTACATCTTAGAACTTTCAAATATCAACCACATGGGAACTTGGGCTTACTTCCTTATCGGCTAGAATTCAAAAGGGGTTTTGTTTTTAATGGATGGTTTGCTATTTGTCTTCAAATCCCAAACCCACTCAGGTAAGGGGCGGTGTTTTCAGAAGCCTTAGAAATCACCCTCCCTCCCTCTCCTAACTTCTGGGTGAAATGAAAACTGACCTGTGTGTGTGTGTGTGTGTGTGTGTGTGTGTCTACAAATCCCACAGTGAATGCCAGCCCGAGAATTGCATTTGTGCCCCTCTGCATTTCTTTGAGTTTAGTTTAAATGCAATAACAAAAATAATACATATTGTACATAATATATATGTGGTCCTAAGCCTTATAGTGTCTATTTCTAATTCTAGGGTGCAATTAAAAGGAACTTATCCAGTAAGTATATTTTAGCTACCAGAAATAGAGTACAATGTCAAAGAAGAAATAGTTACTTGGATCTTGGCGGATATAGACAATTTGAATTATTCAGCTTGGGTTTGATTGCTAAGGCTTACTTTTTAAAAATCTTTTCCAGTAAAGAATCCTTATAAGTAAGAGCCACTTGGGGGTTGCAAATAATATTTAAATTCAGAAAAAGCATGTTTTTGGAGAAGCTTTGCTGTTTTCTTCCCATATTTGTCAACTCTTGCTGTATCAGTTAAGTTTAGAAATGGATATAATCTAGAAGTGGGCATGGAGGAGGGTAGAAAAGAATCAAAGGTCAAGGCAGCCTACATATTCCAGTATAATTTGAGTGAAAGATTATAGTCAACCGAGGTATATGATATAGGTTACGATATATAGGGCATGATTTCCTCTGCTGCATACAACACATTCTAGGAAACTCTAAACTCATGATTCATAGCTAAAAATGTCACATTTGCTTGGAATCTCAAGAAGAGAATGGGCAGAGAATACTGGATTCGTGCGCTATGCGCAGATGGCCCAGCTTAGCATCCTCTTACGGTGAGGGAGAGCCGTATGCTGTCCCTAAACCCTGCAGTATACAAGTCTTCCAGTCCATGGCTTTGTTTATGGTAGATCTTGGTTAACGAGGTTTATACATGCCGGAGAAAACGCCACTCCACGGGCCAGACATACGGCGATTGCACTGCCGGGGGAGAGGGTTGGTTTCGTAAGGTTTTCAGACTGAGTTGTTTACTGATGGGACTTACGTCTCTGTGTATTTCCAAACGTAGTTCGTAAGACATATGAGGAGGGAGTGGTGAATGTGGGCCTAAATGGGTCTTTTGTCCTATACATAAGGTGAAGAAGTGGCGAGACCCAGGCGCTCCACGCCGACTCCAGAACTCCTAAGGTGAGCGCAAAAGGGGTTCGTGGTGCTCTATGCAAGGTGTCCCAAGCCTCTGAGAATAAGCAAGTGTCCTCCGGGCTGAGCTCTCATCCCCTGCTGCTGAAGGGCTTCCTCGACAAGCACTTAGTGTGGTCCAAATGGATTCTGTCTCGTAAATGCAGCCCAAGGAGGCCTCCAGGGAAGCAGCCTCACTCTAAGCTAAAGTGACCGCCTGCCCGGCAGCTCGGTCCTCTCACTGTCAGGGAGGCTGTGGAGCTGTGTGATGAGGTCCTTGGGTTTCTGGCACTCGGATCTGACATAGGGTTACTGCCCCACAAAGACAGGCTTGTTTCCTTGGATGCGATTTCTTGATGCGTTCCACCTGCCATGCACCAAAGGGATGCTCAGTTTTGGTTTTCGGTTTTAGCAGAGCACTGTTTTCCCAGTGTAGCCCTATGAGTGAATGTCGCGTACATGTGCATAGGTTTCCGAAGAGACCCATTTCGCTTTACAATCTGGATCTTTTTAAAGCTTCTCCCCACTCTGCTTCCTCTTCCTCCTCCTCTTCTCTCTGTCTCTGTCTCTCTCTCTCTCTCTCTCTCTCTCTCTCTCTCTCTCTCTGTCATGGGGATTGAACCCAGGGCCTTCGCACTGAACTACATCCCTAGTCCTTTTCTTAATTCCTTTTTTTTTTTTTTAATTTTTGAGATGGAGTCTCTGACTCAGTTGCCCAGGCTAGGCTCAAACTTGCCATCCTCCTGCCTGTTTCACAGAGTGGGGGCTCACAGGTGTGCACCCTCAGATCTGCCTTCCTTTTCCCGACAACCAGTGTAGTTTAGTCATTAGGAAATAGGGTGAGCGTTTCCTTCCCGACCTCCCATTCCCCTGGGCATCTCTCTGAGACGTGCCATGCTGGGGTACTGGGACGCTATAAGGGGTCCACTGAGCAGAAGGGGAGATGATATCAGAATCATAGTCTCTTATTCAAACACAAACTTCTTGGCAGCCTATCACTGAAGATCCATTCCCACAGGGATGTGTGGACACACAAATGGCCTGAGATCCCAGGACAGCCAGGTTTCTACCAAAAACCCCGTGTCTCTGACACTATCTCTTCTAGACATAAAAGATCAAGCTGCTTTGAGAGAGGTTTTCTCCTTCATTTATTCCTGCTGGTCTGATGCCCTGGTCCTGCCCTGAGAACCGGGATCTTTATTTGCCATCACTCTCGTCCTGTGATGTCTTTGACATCTTTAGTAACACTTCTCAGCTGTGCAGGGTTTTGTCCACATTTGCATGCGGAAGCACAGGGGTGCACACACACTGTTGCTTTATCAGCACAAATATTCGAAAGCTTGTATGCTTTGGAGGTGAGACGTTGAGCCCTGCCTCATCCTGCCTTCCTGTGTGTGATGTAGCAAAAAACCTCCAGATGACACCGCGGCCCTGGCACCCCTCTTCGGCCCGCCCCTGGAATCGGCTTTTGATGAGCAGAAGACAGAAGGTAGGAACAGGTTTTCTTTCCAGTAAGGTGTATCTAGAATAAACATGAATTCCAAAGCATGTTTTTAACATATCATTGGATCTTCCTGGGAAAAATGGGTTTCAATCCACAATGTGTAATTGAAAAAAAGTGATTTAAAATTTTAAAAGTCCCATTGCCATGACTTCCCCTCACAGTCCCACCCCTTGCTTTGCACACACTCCTCCCACCGTCCTGGCCATTTCCTGCAGCAGCTCTAGGGAGCTCTCTCCTGAGGGTCTTTAGCTGTGCTGTCCTGGCTGCCTTGATGTCTTGAATCCATTCAAAACATTTCCTTTCCTGGTCATCCTGACTTTGGGGAGGAGCCGGAAGTCACACAGTGCCGGATCCAGTGATTAACATGGATGAGGCCCCTGGGTTAATTTTTCATGAGCCTGACTGTGTGCTGGGTGGTGCTCAGAAGCAGCCATCCACAGTATCTGTGTCATACACTCGGGGAAAAGAACTCCAGAACTGCCCCCAGAACATCGCAAGAATGGTGGATAAGTGTGTTTGAAGGGAGGGGAGTGACAGGGAGGGTTAATCTTTTACTATAATAAATTTTTTATCTAGCAAGTCACCATTTCTTGTGATCACACCTGAGAGATGTGCTGTTAAGAACTCAATTCCTGTGTACTTTGCAAATTTCTAATAGTTGGACACTGAAAAATTTTACTTCCAGAGATAACCAACAGCTAACAAGTTCACACCTCAAAAGAGGTCAGTAAAGATGAATTCATATGTGCACCCATGCTGGCCAGGGAGTAAAAGCCCCAGGACCAGACCCCCAGCATGGGAGACATGGGTGGAGGTGACCTCCTCACATGCGTGGCTCTCATTGTCGCTCTGCTGTAGACTCTGACCACACTGGCTCTGGGTAAAAGTGGCGTTTGGATCACTCACTGTAATTATTGTTTGCTGACTTGAGACCCAGGAATGATTTTCAGACATTTTGCAACTTACAAAAAGACAGACCCTCATCTCTGGCATTATTGGTGCATTTACCTGTTAAGGATTTATTCTAGAGTTAAATGTCTGACATTTTAAAATTAACCATGTCTTCTGGATGGAGAGAAATAATGTATACCTTGCTGATATAGAATAAACCTGCTGGGAAGGAGATCCAGTTTCTTCTGGAACTGTGTCTATGCCCTGTGCAGGTGCCCCTGGGAGGCATCTTGGCTAATTCAGAATGTCTTTATAAAAGCTGTTTGCCAAGGCATGTGTGTGCTAGTACTGTCTCTCTAGGACTCATTGGTGGAGTGTCCAAAGTTTCAGGGAATAGTGCTTAAAAACCCGATGAGCAGACTATGCTATGATTAACAAAGAGGTCTCAAAGGACAGTAAATTAACCAAGGGAGAATCTGGATTCACGTTCACCGTCCAGGAGTAAACCATCCAGGGCTGGTGGGGAAGACCTGTTTCAGCCAGATCTCATCCCTTGCTGGACAGGAGAAGGGTTTGGGAGAGGCCAGGGATCTCACTGCCTATTGTAAGAGGAAAGTCTGGGAGAGGATCGGGTCACTTCTTGCCAAAGCCCACTGGAGGGAATTTGATGTGGAGTGGGCAGCTGAGGATGATGATATTGTAGGGAAATGGAGGAGGGGTCCGGGAAGCAGCCAGCAGTTGGCTGTCCCTGACACTTCCCCAGGCTTGGTCAGGAGCATGAGTGCAGAGCAACCAAGAGCCCCCTCCGGCGACTGCAAGGCTGTCACCCAGCATCCTGGTGTAAAGGTGGCCAGAATCCTGGTGTAAGATTGTCCTTTGTCTTATCCACCCAGCTGTGCTCAGCCTTATTTCTAGGGTCATAATTGTAAGGTGACCAGAAGTGGGCTTTGACATGTTGAGCCTGAGTCCAACTATTTAAGAAATTCCATTGCTGTCTGGAAGCCTGATACAAAGCCGAAGCAGGTCTCCCACATCCGGTCACTGCCTTCCTTCGCACTGAGGGACATAATGCCCCAGCAGTCTTCACGATCCCTTTCTGACCTACTCACTCCTTCGGATTCCTTCTCCTATTGCTAACTTATAAGATTTAGGGGGAAAGTCCTATAATTTGGGGTCAAATACACCTGGTTCTCATTGGGGTTTCTTTAACTTTCTCTACAGACAACTTACGGAATCACTCAAAACCCTTGGTTTCTGCTCCCAAAAATGCCACTGAAATCACCGACTTGGTGGTGTTGGGAGAATCAGCATCACGCCCCTGTGATAGGTGATCCGTCTACACTTTACAGACTCTGTTTATATCCATTGCCTTTTTTAATCCGTAACGCCTGGGGGCACTTTCACTGCTTCCACTTGACGTGGAAGGCAGGGAGCTCAGAGAGGTTACACGACCTGCTGGGGGTCCACAGTAAGTCCAGAGGCTACATTCAAACCCAGCGGGGCTCTCCAGCATAACCCATTATTACGAAAGCCCAGCTGAGAAGGGTGGGCTGGGCACACAGTCACCATAGGATTTTTAAAAATCAAAGCAAGAACAAAGACCAAAAAATATTAAGCCCTGCATCCTCAGGACCAATACCTAATTGTCCTGACTTACCTCAGATCTCTAAGCACTTGTTTACTTTTCTGGTTCTCTGAAGACATTTCCTAAGCGTTTCTAGGGCAGTCTGATTTTTATAATATTGTGCAAGGTTTATTTAAGGACTCCGGAACACCTTTAAAGAGAGGATCCTGTGCGCTGAACTGAGAAACTTGCAGTTTTGAAGCATATTCATAGCTCACTTTAAATAAACCACCTTAGAATAAAGCAAATGTCCCCCAACATGAATGCCTGAGTTTTCAGATGGGCACTCAGAGCAGAGCCAGTGCGGGTCCTGATATTCAGGGTGTCCTTAAGTGACCCACCAGGCAGAAGCCGAGGACTCTATTTTGAAAGCTTTGCTATGGCTCTATGTCTCTGCTTGAGAAGAATGAAGAGCAGCACATTAACCCTAAATGAATCTCCAGTATGAAGCAGGGAAGAGACTATGTTGTGAAGCTCAGCTAAACCAAAATTTTTTAAAAGTCAGGGTAAGGGGTGGTTCTTTTTTTAACTTACCTTGGAAAATTCTCTTCTTATATTTTCAGTTCTTTTAGATCAGCCTGAGATATGGGGTTCAGGCCAACCAATTAATCCAAGCCTGGAGTCACCAAAGCTAACGAGGCCTTTTCCCACTGGAAGTAAGTTATATGTCTGCTCTGTCTGGAAAAATAAGAGACTCATTGTGTTGTCTGTCTGCGCAGGGAAATCAGGCCACTCTAGAAAGCCTGCGTGAGCAGCATTTAAGCTGGGCAATGTCGAGGAGATGTTGTTCTGCTAGCATGGTTTTAGAGCTAAAGAGACCTTGGCAGGCTAGCGAGGCAGTAATAAAGTGAATGTGACCGATCAACCTTGGGTGGGAGAGTCTTCTGTCATCTCGTTTGCTCATCCATTTCCTTCCTTCATTAATCACTGCATTGCAAATGCATGTGTAAGAATTCCTTATGGTCGGAGCCCTGGGCTATCACCCATCACAGAGGTGCTCCTCCCAACTGCGGCTGCCTAGGACAGAAGGGACACAAGGAAAGGAAACAGCAGCTATTGAGAGCAAGAGAGACGAGACTATGCAGTAGAGGGAAGCTGGGACAGGGAAGTGGGGATATGTATGTAAAGCCACAGCCACCCTGCTCACTCTAGCGAGCTCAGGTGGCTGGAGCAGGAACCTGAAAATGTGTGTAACCTTTCACCTCTGGTGGCTGCACTCTCTGGAATGGATTACCCATTGGAGTACCCATCAAAGCCACAAGCACGACAGATCTACTGAATTCCCCTTCAGTCGCACATAGTCAGGATGCATATGGAAGAGGTTCCTTAAAACACCCTTGGAGGACTAGGTCATGGGAATATGTATTTGATTGGGGAAGGGGAAGTACAAAGGGGATTTTTACTCCTTAAAGCTCACAGATAGACCAGCTAATACTTGTTGTGGGTCAGCATCTCCTGAAACTTGCATTTTGTTATCTGATACATGATCCTAGGAGTTACTGAAGGAAATCAGTAATCAAAACCAAAGTGGTAATTCATTATGAACACTTTTGCAATAAAATCAACAGAGTGAAAAGTAAACCTACTGTTTGGGAAGAAATTTTGCCAGCTGTTCCTTAGATAAAGGATTGATACTAAGAATTTATAAAGAACTCTGAAAAAATCAGACCTTCCCCCCAAATAAAAGACCTAATCAAAAAGCAGGAAATGAAATGAATAGACACTTCACAGAGGTACAAGTGGTCATTAAATATATGAAGAAATGTTCAACATCTTTGGCTATTACAGAAATGCAAATTAAAACCACACTGAAATACTATCTTACCCCAGAGAAAAATGGCCATAAGTCAAGAAATGAAATAATAACAAATGCTCGTGAGGTTGCAGGGGAAAGAGGGACCTTTCACCACTTTTGGTAGGAATGCAAACTGGTGAAATCACCATGGAAATCAGCATGGAAACTCCTCTACAAACTAAAACTGGAGATTCCAGTTGACCCGGTTATTCCTAGCTAAGTATCTCCTCAAAGAGTTAAAGACATCACATCACAGTGATCCATACATACCCATGTTTATAGCAGCACACATAGCTAAATCTTGGAAGCAGCCTGTGTCTTAGCCACTCTTCTCATTGCTGAGACAAAATACCCCACACCCACACATTAAAGGAGGAAAAGGTTATTTCGGCTCACAGTTTGTAAAGGTTTCAGATCATAGCCAGCTGGCTCCCAGCCAGGGCCTCATGGCTGAGGGGCATCCCAGAGGAGAAGCAGTCCATGGCAGGGCAGGCAAGAGCAGCAAGCAGCAAGCCTGTCTTCCCTCTCTCTAGATTTCATCTAGGCTGTCAGCCTACGGACTGGTGCCACCCACACCCAGGACAGGGTTTCCACCATCCACACCCAGAACTGTGCTAAACCCATTTAGTTCTCAGGAATCATTAATCCCAATATTACACACCCTAACTCCACCTACCTCCAAGAAGTGCCACCTACGAGCACATGAGGCTTTGAGGGGGACACCTAAACATAAACGGTAACAGTTTATACATCCATCAACAGGCTCACTCTTGAATCTCCCAAACATGAACAATAACAAGAAAACACATATTTAAAGGAAATAGGAAGAAATGTATCCATTAAAACAATAATTTCTAATTTCACCCACAAAGTGACAAGCCCAGTTCACAAGGGCAAATCCTAGGATAGCAGCTATAATACTGTAATTTTTTCCCCAACATTTTGTTTGGTTACCATTTTTATGAACAGAATCTGGTCATTTGTTTTTGACCTAAGTCCCTTTGCTTCTGATATTCAAAATTATACTGAAATTTAAGAACTACATCTTTAAGAAATCTTTCCAGGCCCAATTTGGGCAATAATGTCAACACTGAGTTACAGACAGCTCTCTGCCCCTCCACCCAGCCCGTTACTCTTGAATCTGGCTGTCCATTAATATGCTGTTCCTTGTTAGTCATAAGTTCCTGGGCACCATTACCACCCCAGGCCCCTAAATGCTGGTGCAGGAGATGAGACTTAGTATGGTTTGAAGTTTGAGAATGATATTTGAACAAGGTGAATGTTGATATTAGTGTTGTCATCTAACATTCTCTTGACAAAGGCCTGTTTTAGTAAAATGCACGACTCCGAATAGGTTCTGCTTTGATCTCTTGACCTTGAACTTTAGAAACTGTAGACCTTCATGACAATCCTGTCCCGGTATCAGGTGTGTGAGTGACAGTGTGAACCACTCGCCTGTCTGGGGTGCATGGCGCCATCACTAACTCTCCCCTTCTCTCTCCACAGCACCTCCACCACTGCCTCCGAAAAATGTCCCAGCCACCCCACCTCGCACAGGCTCCCCCTTAACGGTTGGACCAGGTAAACTTTAGGTCTTTTGTGTCCCCACATGACTGGCAAACAAAGCAGGGCCCAGGGCCCCCCACGCCCTCTGTGCCGGTGCTGTGGGTTTCGAGACGAGGTCTGCAGCTGGTCTGGCTTTTGATGCAGGCACTGTGCAACCTTATTTTAAAACCACTCCACACTTTGCCTGGAGTAAGGACAGTGAGCCCTCCATTGATTTCCCTCAGTGTGATATTGTCGGCCCGCATTAACTTACAAAAGAACAACAAGAACTCATGGTAGGAGAAGTCCCTCCTTCATGGACCACTCCCCAGCTCAAATCACACTTCAGTGGTTTTAAAAGTAGTACTCTCAAAGCACGATTCATCTTTCCGAGAACCAATGAAAGTTTTGCTAAACTAAAACCTGTCCAGTCTGTAAAATCACCACAAGGGTTTAGGATGTGCAGTAGACCGTTGGTGGAGACTTCGCCCAGGAGAAGCCATTCAAGTATTTACTATCTTGTAGTGACGAGACGCAATGAGATCATGAAACAGCAAGGAACGGCCGCTGTCTTTAGACGGACAGCTCATAAAGCACATGTTCCTATCCGTTACCATCAATGCTGTGTATTCGTACATTTATAATGCCAAGTCTCACCGCATCTGAAGGTGGAAAGTAGCAATGGTCATTTCTTGTACCCGGACCTGAGAACACGGTTCTTTGTCACATTTGCAATTCTCCAGCAGCTTCATCCTTTGCTATGTGTGTAGTCTGGTGAGCTTGATAAGTGCAGAGTATTTACCAACAAAAAGACAGGGAGACACAGTCATTCATGAAAATTATATTGGCTGCATCCTGCCAGAGAATCATCAAGAGTCTCATAAAATAAGATGCTTTTGAACCCAAGCCATTGGTGCTTTCCGAGCTCCTGTAAGTTATGCTAGTGATAAATAACCCTACTGGAAACATAATTAGAAATACAGCGAGTCATGCAAAAAGCCACCTCATTTCTCTGTAACCTTACAGCATGGAAGTTAATTTCTTTCAGACAAGAATATCAAACTGGTCCTTAAGAGTCCAAGAGTTATTTAAGGGCAGAGAGGCTTCTGGTCATGCCTTCCAGTTACTTAGTTAACAATTTTTATTTTGAATAACCTCAGTTAAAAAAATAATTATAGTTCTTCAAATTGCAATTGTTATCAGATATTTTCTGCAAGCTATAGAAGACAGTGTTTCCCCCTTTTATTATTGATACAAAATTAAAACAATAGCTGCTGCTAATATTTAAAACAAAGCAGGTGTTTCATATTACACCCTCTGAGAGCAGGGTTCACAGTTATGCTCATGACGTTAGCAGGTTAGACTTGCTGAGAAAAGAAATCATGAAGCTGTGTTTGTGATTTTCTTCTCTGTTAAAGAGGCACCTGTCCGTGCAGTGTCCTCATAAGCACCAGGCACCTTCTCAGGAGCCCATATGGGGGGGGGGGGGGCTGCAGGTCTGTACGTGGGTATGTATGCGTGGGCCTGTAAATGTGTGTGAAGATCTCTCTTTAATCTTAGCACTGTGTTTCTGAGATATTTAAATGAAGAGGCTCTGTGGCTAAAAGTGATTTCCACTATTTTTAAACTCACAGGTATTCCTAGTTCTCCTAATATTTCTGTTGAACACCCTAGAGCAGATGCTACAACAGCTCAGGGTGATTTTCAGCGGTCGGTTCTCTGCATATTTTGCTGTGTGCCTTGGATGAGGCCCGATACCCAGATGCAGCCTCCCTTTGGGGTTGGTCTGCACATCCCTGGGAGCCTCACAACTGCCCAAAGCGCTCGCCCTGAGCAGCCTGGAGAGATGTAGCTCACGCAGCACTTTAAATGATGACAAAAATAGCCAGCTGTGGTCCCCTTGCAGAAGTGTAGAACACAGCGGAAAAACATGATGCTCACTTTACGGGATGCGGCCACCCCTCACTATCAGCTCTAACCCAGTGCTTTTCCCTCAGGAGAAATGCCCACCCAGGTCCCACCCTAGGAAACACATTCACCAGGCCTGGCTCAGGCTCTCCACCCTTTCCCCCCACAACTAAGGTTCCCCAAGTCAATTACCAGTTTAAAAACCAACTACTTTAACCACAGGAAATGACCAGACAGCCACAGAGGCCAAAATCGAAAAGCTACCATCCATCAATGACTTGGACAGCATTTTTGGCCCGGTGCTGTCCCCCAAGTCCGTTGCTGTTAACACTGAAGAAAAGTGGGTGCAGTTTTCGGATACGTCCCCGGAGCGTGTTACCCCAGAGCTGACTCCAAGGGAAAAGGTGGCTTCCCCCGCGGCCGCTTCAGACAACCCGGCCGGCTCCCCAGCTCCAGGCTCTCCTGGGCCCCCGGGACCGCCGGGTCCTCCCGGGCCTCGCACTGTACCATCTCCGCTCAATCTAGAAGACGTGCAGAAGAAAGTGGCGGAGCAGACCGGCATTAAAGATGATTACTTAGAAGCCATCTCATCTCCTAAGGATTTTGGGTTGGCACAAAGAGCAACGCCACCTCCCCCGCCACCACCCACCTACAGGACCGTGGTCTCGTCCCCGGGGCCTGGCTCGGGCAGTGGGACCGGGACCGCCAGTGGTACGTCTTGGGGTGCGTGTGCTCGTCGCGGACCGGGGAATGGCCATGGCCGCTGCAGCCTGAGCGACGCCCTCTTCCCGCCTGGCACCCAGTTTCTGGCTCCTGCCGGTCCTGCCTGGTCTGGGTGTGCCCCGGGCCCTGGCATGACCTCGCCTGTCCAGTGCTCACGGTGCAGTCATGGTCCCAGTCTGTGGATGCGTCCCTCCTGCTTGGCACCCCCAGCCCCTGGAGTCCCCCACCTGCCCCTCCGCTGTCAAGAGGCTTCCGAGTTTTAGAAGAGAGCGGTGATGCCATTGCTTGACCTTCAGGAAGGAGCTGAGAGATTTCACAGCGGCGGGGGGAGGGGCGCTGAGGTCAGATGCCAGGTATTTGGCAAGGGCCTTAGGTTTTTATGGTCAGTGTGGGGAGATGAGCCTACTTTCTTCTTTTTCTTTATTTCATTCCTTATTTATTTACGGTCTTGTTTTGGTTTTTTGAGGCAGGGCTTTACTCTGAAGTTCAGGATAGATCGAACTCACACTGTACCCCTGCCTGCCCTTGAACTCACAGAAATCCTCCTGCCTCAGCCTCCCCAGTGCTGGGATTACAGGCATGCTCCACCATGCCTGGCCTTTCCTTTTTTATGAGTAAGGAGAAAACTATACCAATGTCTCTAATTTGCCTTTAGAAAAAAGAAAAAAAGACGTGAGGTTTAAGAAGGAAAATCAAGAGATTTTAGAGACTGGCAAAAGGGAGGTAGGAAGTGAACAGCTGACACGAGGCACCCCAGCCCAGTCCAGCTGCTGCTGAAAATGAGCTCCCTCTGAGCTCCCCGGCAATCTGCTTATCAGGCTCCAAGCTCAGCTCTAGGTGTGGCGACAGGTGATGAGACATGGGAATGTGCTGGGACTCTGGATGGAAGCTGTCACGTGGAACTTAATGTTTTTGCCTTTTTTATTTGAAGCTGCACTTTGTTTTCTAATTCTGAAAAGCCTGGAACATTTGTGCGTAAGAGAGAAGCATCACGATTTTGCAAGAGCACTTATTCCATATCTTTATTTCACTGCTGCCCAAAGGGCAGACCCTAGGTCCCTTCCCTCCGATGCATGTGGCTTCAGTTCAGGCCCTATGGGGGGCAGGGTGCTATTTTTTTCTTTATCTGCTCTGAAAGAGACAACCAGTGTGAGGTGTCTGGATCTAGGAGACCAAGACAGGCATTTCCATTTCCGGTGGGGATGTTCCAGGGCTGGCTCTGTATCTGCAGGTGCCTCTGTGCAGCCCTGGAGCCTCACCACACACAGAACTGGTATTTTGCATCATTAGGGTACTCTAGCCTGTCTCCCCTCCAAAAGGAAAATTATTCACTGCTCAAATAGGTTTGGGCAGATTTGCGTCACATGGAAGCCGCAGAGGCCTTTGCCACAAGACATCTGAGGGCCTTGACTTTGCCAGCAGTGACAACCACAGTTCACGCCCCGGCACTGTGCCGCGCACTGCTGCACCCTGACTCAGCCTCACAGCAGCCCCCATGGTTGGTTCTGTCATTGCCCCCATGCTACTGAGGCAGAAAGTGAGGGTCAGAGCTGTCACCATTTTGCACCCGTCTACACTGCTAGGGTGGACACCTGGGCGTCAGAGCACCAGCCTGGTCCCAGCCTGTGTTCTGTGTCACTGCACTGTCCAGGTGCTTGTCAGGTTTAATCACAAAATGCCCCAACTCATCCGCCCACAAGCATCCTTCTGTACCCTCCAGTGTCATCATCAAGATCACCAAACCCTGCTCTCTGAATCTGGTTCTCTGTGGCCTGTCTCTAGTTCCAGGGAGCCAGAGAACCCTCCTGAGAGCTCCCATTGGCTTTCCTAAGTATGAGTCTCCACACCTACTTGGACAGTAATAGGTTAAACCTTCAGGTAGCAGATCCCAAGAAGCTAGGTATGTTTAAGGAGGGTTGTGCCTCCCTGGTTGTCTAGGGGACCCCTTCTTGAGTCAGGTCCCCTGGTTCCTGCAGAGGGGAACCCCAACACTACCCACAGAGCAGAGAGGTGATCAGCATTTCTTCAGTTGCCTTCCACAAAGCCGTGGGAGATGTTTGTGTAATTGATTTGAGCATCGATTTAATGAGGAAGAGAACAGTGTTGACTTTTTCTCTCTGTGATCTTTGAAAGTTTGATTTTAATGTTTATTTCCATAGCTTTTTGGAAATTATTTTTAGAAGTTAACAGTAAAGACTTGCTCCTTCATAACTGAGCTGGTGAAAACTGTACTTTGCTGGCATGAAAGGGTTCCATTTCTAATTGGAAGATGGAACGAGCCCAGTGAAGCTCATGAATAAATAAAGTCCCAGTTTGGGCAGTGCCTAACCTTTTACTAATGAGCTACACACAAACCAGCAAATGTAAACTCAGAGGATTCCAAACAACAAGACGTGGCCCATGGTTTTAAAGATAAACAATGGATCTCAAGACCTGCTTTTTATAATACTCAGCTTTCTGGGTCCGACAGGGTCAAACTGGGTCCATTCTGCTCCCAGGAACATGTGAAGCCACGGTCCAGGGGAGACTTACTAAGCCTCAGGCTCTCGCCAGAATGCCCTGTGGTTCTAACATACTCCTGTAGTGTCTTTATAACTGCACAAAAAATCTATGACATTGGCTCAGTAAAGAAAAAAGCAAAATAAACGCGAGCATCCACAAAGGAGAAGGAAAACAATGAACTTGTCAATTAACCATTTTCTCTTGATTTTTTTTTTTTTTTTGGTGGCTCTGCATCAAAAGGCAGCCAGAGATTTAGTTCAGTGGCTTTAGCACCTGCCAGTGCGAGGTTGTGAGTTCAATTCATGGTACCAAAAAAAAAAAAAAAAAAAAAAGACCTAATCTTCTCCACCATTGTTAGCATCTGTTGCCTTCTATTTAGGTAGCAGTCAATATTTTAGCAAATGCTTTCATAAACATTTGCAATTTGGATTATCACAGCTACCTTGTAAGACAGAATGATACTTTATTTTAAAAACTACAAGGAAACTGAGGCTCAGACAGATGTAGACACTGCATCTGAGGAGAGGTGGGGTCAGAACACAGCCCTCCACTGCCTCCATCTGGTATTGTCTGGTACCCACAATGCTGTGAAGACAGCCCCCAGTAACTTCCCAGTATTACTGGAAGGGGATTTTAGACTTCTGGTCTGCAGCAAGAAGGGAAACTAAAAGCAGCTAACCTTTTCCTGAGGCTGCTTCAGATAGTGTATCTCTTACATCTCCTGGAAGAGAAATGCCCAATGTGTTTGGGGCCATCCCTCTGGCATGGTTTCCCCAAGGCCCAGGGCCATACCCTCCCCTGTCCAGAAGAGTCCCTGAAACTCCTGACCCAGACCTCACTGTACAGAACACGTGTGGCCCACCCGCAGCAGGTGCACAGCTACTGACAGAGCCACGCCCCCACCAGAGCCTTCAAGCTCTCAATATGCTGAGATTTTCTGCAGTATTTTTAAGGACTCAATTGCTCAAGCAAAAAGGTTGGATTCACGTGGTTTAAAGGTGGATTTCCCACCTCCATGGCATCTCTTCTGCCTTCTGAAAATCTACCAACATCACCCCCCCATGACAGCTTCCCAGGGAAGCCTGGTAAAACTGTCCCCATTTTTTGTTTTGTTTTTCTAAAAAGAGCTTTAGCCACCGACTAAGTCCATTTATATGGAGGGAGACAGTTGTAGACTCACTGTGCCAAAATAAGAAGAGGTTTTACGCAGTGTCGTGGGACTCTGCTGTCTCTGAAGCCACGGGAGACTTAAGAGCTTTGGAGCTGAGGGCCCCATTTGAACTTCGAGATCTCGGGCAAGTTAGTATCTCTGAGCTTCTGCCTCTGTTGCAGTGAAGAGGTGATTGCTCCCTTACCAGCCTCAGGGACCAGGCAAAGCGTCTCGCACAGATCCTGGCCCCATAAAGTAAAAAGGGAAAGTACAGTAAAGAGAGAATGCAGTGGACAGCGATGGTGGAGGCAGGTGGAGGTGGAGGCAGTGGCAGTGAGCACTGCAGATTTTATACCAGTGGGACTTTAGTCAACACAGCAGTGCGGAGAAACACACTCAGGATGCCACGTGGTGTAAAAAAGAGAAGGGAGGGACTCCAAAGAGTCCTGGTTCACTTCAAAGCTCTTTGACAATTCAAAAATCTAGGGTCCCAAGGTGCTGGTCATGGACTCCAGAGAGCACAGTTCTGAGCTGTGACCATGAGGAGTGCAGGCTGGGGAGCTGTGGGGAGAAGAGGGAGGATATCTTCCCAGGACAGGATTCCTAAGAATTCTCTTAGCTAAGCGGCAATCTGTGTTTCAAACCGAAGTGATGAAACTTCTGAACGGCCGCTGCCTGAATACTGACCCGACCACTGTGAGGTCCTGCCTGAGAGGCTTCCCCTGCATCCCAGACACATGACTGAGGACAGGCGTGTCCCCCACCCCGAATGCAGAGTCCCCGCTGGGGTGCTGACAGTGTGCATGCCAGCCTCTGTGTGACCTCCGTGTTCGTGCGCTTGTCATGGGCAACCAGAAAAGTAAATCCGAGAGGCTCTTCCGAAATTCCCCATGGAAATCACCCAGGAAAACCCTGCGTGAACAGACAGCCAGGCTTCTCCTTCCTCAAGTCCTCCAAATTTGGCACCACAGAGCACTCAGCCAACACCTAATCCATTTTATTATGATTTGTCTTTTCTTTCTGTTAACAGCAAGTGTTCAGGGCCATTGATAAAGGAGTGTTACTATTTTGACAAATGGTCCATCTTTAAAATCTCTAATGTGGATAAATCATTTTCCTTTGGGCAAGATTTCCAGGTTCTCTTCCATTTTTACCTTGAGTATAAATTCTGAATATAAAGAAAAATCAAAAACTTTGTCGTAAGTTTGGTGTGTATGTGACCAAAGCCGCCCACCGGCCACCCAACAGTCACAAACCTCTAAAACCGTAGCAAAGGATTTACCTTTCGGTGGCTGCCCCATGACAATGACAGTAATGGGCTGCAGCTTCTGCCATCAACCATAGCTCAAACAAGTAAGTTTTTTTCTTTATTAAAAAAAAGGGAAAAACCCATGTGTGCCGCAGTTTTTAGTGTAAAAATAAAGCTGTTCGTGATTGGTGAGGCGTGGTGACACCCGTGCTCCGGAGCCTGGCTCTGCAGCCACTGCTAACGCCTGTCTGTGTTCCAGGTGCGTCGTCGCCTGCCCGGCCAGCCACTCCCTCGGGTCCTTGCAGTGGAAGCAGCACCCCACCACCACCTCCTCCCCGACCTCCATCACGACCAAAGCTGCCTCCAGGGAAGCCTGGAGTTGGAGACATGGTAGGTGCCCCTCTGCCCACCCCCAGGAAACAGACAGCGCCAATAACACATGACCCCAGAACACCCTAGCAGGGGACTTGCTCCACTTCAGGGCTGAGCAGTAGAGCTCTCACACGAGGACCCCATGGAGCTGTGGGGAGGGTCTCCCAAAGCTTTCCAGCCAAAGTGTAAGGAGACAGGAACAGGACCCTTAAACCCTCCCTTGGCCTGCAGAGGTGGAGGGTGGTGTTCAGTTGGGCCAAACCTTTAGAGAGAGAAGGTCCCTCTCCCAAAATTTATCCATTCTGTCAACTCCAAGCAAGAGTGAGAGTTTGTTCTTGACCTGATTTGATACTGGCTTTTGACACCACAGAAAACCAGTTATTGGTGGCTGGCATGCTGGGTGAACATCAGGAGGAGAACGGTGGCCTGATGAGCTGATTACTGGGGTCTTTCACACTCTCTCAAGGACGAGGGATAGCAGGCTTTCTGTGCACACAGTTAAGAGGCTTGCGGCTGATTTCATGGGCATCGGTGAACTGAAGTCACCAGCGACGACATTCATGATGCATGGGTCATGGCTCTGCTAGCAGAGTCCAGGATTCTGTGTTATGGATCTTCAGAGGTGACTGAGCTCTGTGCTATCTTAGTCCCCAGGGGTTTGCGGAGCCACACGGAAGACCCCAGCCTCTCCAAGCCTAGCACACATGCTGAGTTTCATAGGCTGTGGTCAGGAGCTCCTCCTGCTCTGCCCCTGCCCCTCAGACACGCACAGTCCACCTTAGGGTGCACAGAAGGCTGCGATGTCCTACCTGGGGCTGGGAGACCTTAACGATAGCGAAGCAAAGTACTGCAAGCTGTGTGTCTAACTCTGCATCTCTTCTCTTCTCCCTTATAGTCCAGACCCTTTAGCCCGCCCGTTCATTCCTCCAGCCCTCCTCCGATAGCACCCTTAGCCCGGGCTGAAAGCACCTCTTCAATATCGTCAACCAATTCCCTGAGTGCGGCCACCACTCCCACTGTCGGTAAACAATCTCTCCTCTCTTTCCCTCTGTTTGTGGTGTTGACCGGCTGTGTCGCCCAGGCCTGTGTTTCTGGTTGAAATTGTTCCGCTGTGTGTTCTGCTCCCATCACCTAACCCTTCTCAGCAAAGGAGGCGAGGGGCTTCCCAAACACAAACAGCGAGATCATGAGCTCCAGGGGGCTGTCCTGTCTTATGCAGCTCCCTACAGAGAGCTGTATTCACAGAGGTATAGGCGACACTGTGGAGCCAGGTCCCCACGGTTCAGTTCTTCCTCACTGTACGAATCGTCTCCTCTAAGGGGAAATGGTGAAATTCCATCCGGGCACCACAGCAGGAACCATGACACTGGTTTGTTTTCTGGACACAAAATGATCTCTCTTTCATTTTGGAGTTGTCTTAAAGTTGACAAATGGTATAAACACAAGTATTGTGAGACTTCCACAAATTTTTTTTTTTTGACCATGTTTTTCCTTGTGCTCTGTCAGTGTCTGTGGTCAATTTTCCCAGAAAAATAATAATAGTGAGTCATTGCTGGCATTTGGGGTAAACACCTTTGAGCCTTGTGCTGTACAAGAGTGAAGGGTTGAGTGTCCATCAGCTGAACGGGTCGGTCCCGGGTGGACGCACCTGGTTTTGCCCCCACCTCCCATCGGCCCCTGCTGCCCTGTCCCCTTCTTTGCATGTGTCTGGAATGTGGAACTTTCTCATTCCTTGTCTCCTGGCGACCTTTCTTCCCGCCTGTTTTCCTGTGTCATCTGGACCCCTCCTCACTTCCTCCAGGTTACCAGCCAGCTCCCCAACCTGCCTCACTGCCCTGGTGGCAGTGGCCTGATCCAAGGCTGGGACTCTCTGGATGAGAAGCTCCCACCCTGTTTCCCCAGAGAAGGGGGGGCTATCTGTTAAAGGGCCCATGGGAATGTCACTTCAGGCCATCCCAAAGGACCCTTTAAATTTCCTGAAAATACAATCAGTTACCAGCTGTGTGTAAGGTACTGTGAAGGGGTTTGCACTGTGTGGCCAGGTCTGCTTATCTTCATCACTGATGGGGCAGATTGGGATTTCCCATCTCTCAGTGTCTGACAGCTCATTGCTTTCTGAGTTTTTGGTTTCCTGTTACATCTCAACTTTTTTTCTAACTCTCTCCTTACTCTTCTTGATGGAGACATCCTTCCCTTGCCTCACTGTTTTGCTCTCTCAAGGGGATCGGTCTGGCACCCCTCCCCTGTCCAGTGTGATTGGCTTTGGGGTCACAGTGGGAAGTGGGGAGACAGGCCCCAAGTGACCCCAGTGAGCCATCCGATGCCTCCTCTCATCCCTCTGTGACTCTGCACATGGGCGTGGGAATGGCCATGCTTTGCACTGTGCCTTTCTGTCCCCCCTGCCACAGAAGTCGCGCATCCCGGCCAGCAACTCTGATTCCTAGCACGTCTGCAATGCATTCTTGCAAGGCAAACCGAGGCAGGGTCACCAAAAAAAGCCACAAAAGAGAAGGGCACATTGCTTCACTGCTGAGGGCACCCTGGCCTCACTCGCTGGCTTCTGCTGCTTTCGTTTGCCTTGATCTGCCCCCTCCCCCCCGCAGACCCCAGCCTCCTGCTCATTTCCTGCCCGTGGTCACCTGACAGCCCCTTTGCTCCGAAGGAAACGTAGCATTGCTGGGGCAGAGCAGCAGCTGTGTGGCTGGCACTTTGGCTGGGCCATGCCCAGGAGCCCTACTTTGGGGGCTTGGATGGTCCACTGACCAAAGTAAGATGGCCCCAGGTAGCCAGTTGTTCCCTCACTTGGAACACAGGTGTGGGACTAAATGAGCCAATTTTACAGTAATTTTTGAGAACTAAATTTTTAACAGCAAATCTAAGCTTTCTACATATATAAGAAAATGTCCCTCAAAGGCTGTGGATATTAAATTTTTCATAAAAGCTCTAATATGGAGCAATAAATCTGAGACCACATGAGAAGACAGAACTTTCCATAGATTGTGTTATTGAATTTAGGATATCCTCAATTTAAAATGCATCATTACCTCACACATATTCAAGATTTTCAAAAGCTGCCCAGTGAAATTTTTTAAATATGAATTCTAAAGCCCACCCCGGCTTTAAACAGCCGAGCAGGTGACACCATGCACAGCAGAGCCAGTGAAACACAGCAAGCGCTTGTACTACAGGAAGCGCACGAGACCCAGGGATGTTAATATTCTGAGGACAGGGACAATGTTGAATTCTGTTGTAAGAAACAAATTCCTGGACCGAGATACGATACTGGAAATAATGGAGAGTTTTCTCTAATTGTGAACAAGTTTTATTACTTCTTTCTTTTATCTGTAATTATGAGGAGCTTGTTTAAAGTTACTGAAAAATCTTCCTCAGGACTCCCCTGCAAAAGGACCCAAGAAAGACAATTTTTCTTCTCCATTGGTTTCACTGTGTATTATATTCCTTAATTAGTAGTCATGTGTTTGACTTTATACCACATCCCAGAAATCCATAATGAAGGAAAAGCAATCTTTATGGCGACCAAAGACTCAGATGGATTTTGATGTTTCCTCTGATGTGGAACTTTGAGGAAAAGTGACTTGTATTCAGTGATGGAACTGTGGCACCTGGAACATAAAGTATTCACCCCAAGATGGACAGCAGCTCTAAAGCTTTCTTTCTTAAAAAAAAAACTGTGGCAGTATCAATTACTTTGCACAGAGTGCTATTTGCAGGCAGAGCCTGTCCCCCAGATATTACAGGATCTGCACTGACTTGTCCTGGCCACCTAAGAGACTCAGTGTGATAACGGAGATTAACAGGTGATGTCTGAAAACCTTAAGAAATGACAAAAGGCAGCCTCCCTGCCTTAGTCCCACAGCCCAGGCAACAAATAAATAGAATATTTGTCAAAAACTGGATTATTTTTCTACCTCTTAGGTTAACTTCTCAACTTAGTAGATCAGTCTTTGTACAGATTTTATTCAATGTTCTAGTAAGGTCATGATCATACTCTTAGGACTTGTAGTATTCTTTTTATTTTATTTTACTTGTCTTTTTGAGACAGGGTCTCGCTATGCAGTCCAGGCTGGCCTTGAGCTCACTTTGTAGGCCAGGATGGTCTTGAACTTGCAATGATCCTCCTGCCTCAGCCTCTCAAGTGCTGGGATTATAAGCGTGCCACCACACCCAACACATTATTTTCTTTTTAATCACATAGAATAAAAACCTCAACCACCGGCATTTGACAGTTAGTGAGTAGAGAAACAGTGTAAATCCAACACTGATGAGGACCTAAGCCATGTCACCATGTTGTGACCAATTCTTGGAGACATTTAGACACAGCTGCAGGCCATAGCCAACGATGGCACCCTAAGGACACTGTCCAGAGTTAGCAGCCCATAACCATCCAAGGCAGGGCAAACTGAAGCTGGGTGCTGGTGAGGTGGAACTGGGATAGTTCACACGAGGACCTGGGGCTCATGCCGTGCTCTTACAGCCGTGTTTGAAGCCAGCTTCTTCTCCCTAGGGATGTGCACACGGGGTGACACTGCCGAGCTGCTGAGACCCAGCAGGAGGTCCCTGTGGATGGGCCTGTGTCCCGCCCTTGAGCACTATGCTGAGCAAAACACATTTACACAAGTTAATATGAATGACAGCACCTGTAGGGACTCCCTCAAATCAGAGGGTGGGCTTGTTTTTCCTGGACCTGACTTCTGCCAAATTCTCAGATGCTAAAATCTGATGTTTTTAAAATTCTAGTTCCTTCTCGTAGAATCATTATCCAGGAAGCGCATCACTGTCTATATTCTAACCACAACCCCAGTGTCTTTTCTTTTTTTCATGAAAGTCATTCCTGTGTTCCTATTAGTAAAGTGCACTGCTTGATTTCATTTGGGATTTGTTGTTTGTGTTTTTGTTTTCCATTTGTTTATGTTTCTTTGGTTCGTAGTGTCAGAAGATGATGTTTTTTATGACAAACTGCCCTCGTTTGAAAGGCGCGGTGACATGCTCGCAGGTATGGTGCTAGCTGAGTGATCTCTAGATATTTAGATTTTAAAAATCCAAGCCATTACCCATCTGAATGCCAGACCCTTCATAGATCCGATCCTCACCTAGTGAGCATCCAGCGCCCCTTGGGCGCACCCCATTCATTTACTGTCCAGCAGGGAACCCATGCCGCTGCAGCGTTTTTAAGCGGACATGTGAAAAGCGGCAGGTTGCATGACAGTTTCTCAGTGAAAAGGTTCAAAAAGGTGAGAGGCCATTGCTTCACGAATTTCCAAAGGGAGAAATCACTTAACCGCTCAGCGTCACATGTCCGATGACTGCTTCTTTCCTGAGAACACAGCCGAGCTCCACTAGAGCACACTTTCTCTGTTGTATGGAGGTAGAGGGTGTCTTGTGTCCAGATGCCCAAGCCGACTGCAGAGGAGGGGATGGAAGACCTCCCCAAGCTTCCATGAACTTTAACCTGATGAGCTAAGCTAACATTCCAGGCAGCCCGTCATTCTGAGTTTACCTGCTCGGAAACCAAGAGGGGGATGACACTGAAGATGAAACAGTCACAGCGGCTGCCGAAGGAGTTTGCCCAAAACCGAGCAGTTAAAGACGCTGGTGCCCCTGCATGGCCAGGAAGATTTCCGCTCCAGGCTCAGCACCCCGCAGCCAGCTTCCTCCCACCGCACCCATCCCTTAGGCTCCCACGCTTTGCTTTTGCTTTCTGTTTTCCCAACTAAAAAAGCCCAGACTACCAGCCCCCCTGCCACCCTGCACGCTCAGGGCATGCAGTGCCTCCTCCCTTCCCTGTAGCGACATAGGTGATCTGCTCTGTAACTCACGTTTTGTCCTTCTCTCTCCCTCCTTAACCTTCCCCATCCCGCTTCAACTCCTGGCCATACAGAGAATGAACAGCCTTCCCTCGTCTGGTTTGACAGAGGAAAGTTTTATTTGACTTTTGAAGGTAAGTGGTGCATAGCATACCAGATTCTAACTTACACTCCCCCGTCCTTCCTCCCCCGGGGCGTTGTAAATCCCAGCTCTCTTCAAAAAAGTTGAAAAAATGCTATGGCTACTTAGAAAATTTTTATGGCTAAAGGAAACATAACATAAATTTGATTTGTCTGTGATCTTCAATTTTTTATATTGAATAAATCAAAGTAATTTTGCAGTTAATATTAGTTAATTGAGATCAATTAAAACAAAACAAAAAAGCACAGCTTTTTGACCAATGAACTTAACTCTGTCAACCAGGGCTCTCTCCTAACTCTTGCAAATGGAATGCAACAAATATACAGACGTTTTGGTTGGTACTGGCATTTAAGCTTGCTTTGGACAACACGCAGTACTGTACATGGTAAATATGTATATATCCTATGACAAGGTGTGCCGAGGAGATTAGAGAAATGTGAAAAAGTACGGTTTTCGTGGGCTTGGTTTGCAACTGAAATGGCCACAGTAAAATGGACAGCTATGGCTGGACTTGCCATTTTAGGAGAACATGACAAATAGACATAAATATGGTATCAAATTTCCAAACTCAGTGTTTGGTAATTGGCTATGTCCTGAATTAAAGATTAACATTCTTCTGCTCTCTATTTAAGTTCTACACCATCTTACATGCATGTGATAAGTGGCCCCTTTAAACTAATTGTGGGGGGAAATTAAGTCATTTAACTTCATTAATGGGCCACATCCACACAAGGATTTATCACACAAGCCCCTAGTTGCTAGACATTAAAGACCCAAATTCAATCTTGAGGTCAAAAGTTGGTCAAGAAATACTCAATTCTAGAACCAATATTGAACCTGTCTTTGTGTTTAATGACACTAAGTAGACTTTTCCTAGCTCAGGTGCATGATTTAATGCATTTTTAAAAATTAGCATAGCTGGTACTGTGAGTGTAGCTTTTTTTTTTCAACAGTGAAGTCTGTTTGCAAGGTACCCTAGACACAGAAGCCCTCAGCTCAGAGCAGGTCGGTAGGTGTAGGAAAGATGCTCTCATTTCAAACTTTTCAGATACTCCGATGACATTTCCAACTTGGGTAGCGGACAGGTAGCTTGGCAGCTGAGCAGTCTTCTTGGGAAGATGCGTATTTTCCTTGTGATAGCAAAGCCTTTGTTGCCTTAAATCATTAATTTTATAATAACCAGGATGCAACGTCCAGAACCTGTGACCTCCTAAACCTCGTTTGAGTCAGGTGCAGTTAAACAGTGTCCAGCACATCCCAAAAGCAGCAGCTTTGGCTGAGAAGGCTGGGAAAGGAGACCATTAGACCAAGGATCTACTCACCAGAGCCCCAAAGCTTTGCTGAACGTATTTATGTTATAAGCAGCTCCGCTGAAATCGGAATCTGTTCATTTTAAGCTGGGGAAAGGACGCATGCTGGGTTCTGGATGGTGTTTTTCGAGTCCACCCCAGTGCATATCCTGTTGAACCTGTCGGTTATCTTCTGAAGTGACAAGAATGGTATTTCCACCACACATGGGCCTGCCAGACATTTGAACAAATCCCTAGAGCTTCTGAATATCGAGATGTTTCCAAGAATGTGCTGTCCCTCTCCTGCATTAGCGTCCACACCTGCAAATCTCTCTTGCAAACAGGGGTGAGAAAATGAGCAACTGCTTGTCACCAGAGGTCCCTGAGTGTCTCTGTGTCTTTAGCCTCTCGCTCCCCACACAGCCTCCTCCTGGACACCCCAGCTCTTGTGTGTTGAGTTCCTCCCTAGTGACACCCTTCCCTGGTGAGCGCGCTGTTACTCAGGGTTACACACCCCGTAAAGCAGGTGCAGTGGTGGGGAGCCTTTAGCTCAGCAAGCATGCCCACAAGCTCAAGAAGGCCATGCGCCATGCTCGGGCGGGCGCACTGCTGTTATTTACATCTTGTCGCTGAGCAGCGGCTCTAAGAACTAGGAAGCTGCCCCCAGCCTATGCACCTAGCCCTTGGTTAAACGCGCCCCGAGTGATGTTTATAACCACTATGAATGTACACTGCACCACCCAAAAACCATATGCTTCTGGGCAGTTAATTTTAGCATCTTTAAAATGTAAACAGGTATGATGCCTACATGTCAAGGTAATTAGCAAAAAATCAAACAAAACAATGGTTTGTTGAGGTACTATTCAGTGTGAAAGACCTTTGAGGCTGCATTCAAACAGAATGAGGAGAATTAAAGCAAACAATCAGGACCAGGTTCTGTGCCCAACATGCGCTTTTCTCGTGTTTCTTCTCTCTAATGCCACCGTCAGTCCTCTAGGGTGACCAAGCCGAGTGTCCTGTCTGTCCCTCAGACTGGCTGATGGTGCATTTCCCCCTCTTCTGATCACAGTGCTCTAAATCATGGAGCCATTTCTGAAGTACCCCTCACTCAACAAGAAGGTAAATACAGTCTGACTTGGCAATGGTAGTTTTGCTGGAGACTGAAGCTGAAGAGAGGAGGGGATGAGCCCTGTGGGTGCATAACACTTGCCCAGGGGCAGAAGTCAATTCCAGACCAGGATTTATGACTGCCTGGGTTACCAAACGGGGCACTAACACATGTAGCATGAAGTGTTCTCCCTGTTAAAAATGAACAGAAAAGTTAAAGATTGGCTCATTTATTCCCTCATTCAGAGGCTCATGACTATTCTACAAGCTCTGCTTAGCTGTAGGCTTCTCTGTGGGGAAGATGGTGGTCAAACAAAATGGCTTCCAGGAAGTTACAGAAACTGAAAAGCTCATCACTTCCTGGAAAAGGCACATTGGAGCTGGTACCAGAGTAGAATTGAAAAACATTTCAGAAAAGTACAAGAGGTTTTTTCCCCCTAACTAGAAGACTCTAGAATAAGTTCTTGAAGGAAGTAAGACTTGAGCTGGTTGACATTCAAGGACAAACAGGATATAAAAAAGCCAAGGTGGTCCTGTTTGAAGGGCAACTTGAATATGGGGTGGAAGGAATATCTAGGGTTTCTTGTCCACATGAAATAAAAATGAACTGGCTTCTATAAACGTTTAATATATCTTGCATTTCTTTGCTTATGAATAGGGACATTTCACTTTTCTCTTCCATGTAGTATGCGCTCACAGGGACAATTTTGAAATTCTCTGCATGTCCCCTCAATAACCCTAGACATGTAGTCAGGTTCAGGGGAAGGAATCAGTTGTGCTTTTGTGATGTTCTGCTTGGACTTAAAAACAGCTCCGGACGCTGATGCCTGTTTGTGCTCATAGTTAATATTCTTTAGCAGGAGACAGGATTGTCTCATATGTCCTCTGCATTTGTACAAAATTGAGTACGATGGATGCACAGTAAAATGCTGGCAATTCCCGTGCCCCTAACTCTGCTATAGGTAGACAACGGATGCGGAAATAACCAACACATCCGTAAGAGGTCTCCACAGCGCTGCCACCAAGGCAGACAGTGTTGTGGCCGTGTTCTCTGCACTAACTACTCACCAGGTACCTGTGTGTGTGACACCATGAACGGCGAGGCAAGACAGCCATGTCCCTGTCTGCAGGGGACACAGAAGTTATCCGTTAAGCAAGCGGTAGCAATAATGTATAAAGAATATTATAAGTAAGAGGACAGAGTGCCACAGGGGCACGCAGTGGGCCCTCGTCACCTGGCCTGGAGCTGGGTGACGGGAGAAATGTTAGTGGCTTTTAAATCTGGGGACAGCTTGCTTCAAATGAAATGAAATGTGGCTGGGTTATAGAAGGTGTTACCCCAAATACATACGGGGCTTTATCCTAGGCACTAGAAAGCTCTCCATATCTGTTTACTCTTATGTATACACACACATGCACATATCCGTATGTGTGTGCGTGTCTATATATAGAGATATGGAATGTATGCTTCATATCAGAAATAAAGAGGTGTGCGTGCGTGTGTGTGTGTATGCATGTGCACATGTGTGTGCGTATATATGTGTGTGTGTGTGTGTGCATGCGCGTGTACTGCATGAGCCCTGGCATAGCTCTCTGGTCCGACTTACAGCCCTTACACACTGCTATTCCAGGCGAGTCACCTGACCTCTCTGAATCTTAGTTTCCACCTCTGGATATGGGGATAACGATGGCCCTTATTTTATTTCACTGCATTGTGATGTGGTGAAAGTCAAAGTTAAGCCTGCCTCCGTGCACACCACCTACTCGATGAGCATTGGCGTTCCTGCCCTCTCCACCCTCACAGCCCCTGGCCTATGGCCCGGCGCTGCCCCATGGCTCTGGCTGCACTGCAGAAGTCTGAGTTGGGGACTCAGGTTTTGCACACCCAGCCTCCGGCAGCCTGGTATGCTCTGGGCTGCTGTGCGGCGCCCTCCCTGTCAGTGGGGGCTGTGAGCCTCTTTTCCCATGCTGCTGTGGAGCAGGAGTTACAGCTGAAGTGTGGGCCCCCTGCAACTTCACGGTCCCCCACTTCCACAGCAGGCTCCTGGAGGGGCCATACCCCACCCCTACCCCAGCAGCACATCCTCGGGGTACAGTGTGAACCCCGGTAGGAGGTGTGGACTAAAATCTGTCACCATTGTTTATTAGAGAATTTATAAATCACGGTGTTTCAGCAGATTTGAAGCTAACTGAAACCTTCCAGAGAGAAGAATGGAAAGCTGAATCCCAGAGGGGACTACTTTCCCTGGGGACAGGTCTGAGCTTTCCTCCCACAGCAGCTGCCTGAGGGCCTCACAGATGCTTTTGTTTTTATTAGGAGTCTTTAGCAGAGTTGTCCATAGATTTAGGCTACATACTGTACTTTTTTTTTTTTTTTTTTTGAGGGTTGGGGGACTAGGTCATTAAATTGCCCTGGTTTGAATTAAAATATCCTCCTGCCTCAACCTCCTATCATGGTGAAATCACAGGCTATACTACTGTTTCTATGGGCTGAGGCGGGGGCTTAGTGGTAGGATGCCTGCTTACTATACATGAGGCCCTAGAAAAAATACTCTTTTTATGAAGCTCTCACAACCCTGGAAAGGTAACATAAATT